CCCCAAAACCCCAAAACCCCAAAACCCCTTTAAGATTATTATTTATTGAAATTTACACCATGGAAGAGACCAAAGGAGCTAATCTCTCTATGAGCGATGCCCAGACAATTAGTAATGATGGTAATAGTCATAATTCCTTTGTTCAGATTATAGACTTCTTAGGACTATCTTTCTTATAATTCTGAACACTATTTATCCACACCAGTAGCCATAACTCAATATTCCGTTATTTAGAACAAAAGTGGTTATTAATCGGATAATTGGTTCTATAAATCAAAGGCTGACTCTAAGATTCACTATAGTTTTAACTCCAATTTATTATGTTTTATATTTGCTTGTCAATTCTCTAAGATTTTCATGCAGCAAATAAAATTCTATGTAATCTTAGAAAAGTAACTGTTCCTATAGACTCAAACATTAAAGCTATATGCAGGTTTAGGCCTCTCACTGGAACGGAGAGGGGTAAAGGAGGTAGCAGCGTGTGCTGTGAGTTGGACACCTCTCAAAATTCGGTGTCTATAAACTTAACTAAGAAATAACAATAAATATACTGGGCCTACAACTTTCTCCTTTGATAGAGTCTTTGACTTAGGTGCTAGCCAGAGAGATATCTATGAAGCAGCTGCCGAGCCTATAATCAACAGTGTTTTGCAAGGTTTTAATGGTACCATATTAACCTATGGCCAATCTGGCTCTGGAAAGACCTTCACAATGCATAGTTCAGAGACTGGTGGAGTCCAGAACCAAGGAATTCTTCCTAGAATAGTTTCAACACTCTTCAGCAGGATTGAGAATATGACAGAAAATATTGAATTTTCTATAAAAATCTCCATGCTGGAGATTTTTCAGGATAAAATCTGAGATTTACTAGAGAAATCTAAAGTTGATCTCCAAGTTAAACAAACTTCTGAAAAAGGAACCGTAGTTGAAAACTTAACAGAGAAATACATCGGCTCTAGTGACGAGATCTATGATGCACTCAAAATTGGGGATCATCTGAAGACTGATAAATCACATGTTATTTTCATAATGAACGTGGATCAGACAAATGCTGATACTGGCTCTGGTATCTCTGGAAAGCTCATTTTAGCAGACCTAGCAGGAACTGAGAAAAATTCAAGTAAAGGTTCACAAGGATCTGAATCAGATGATATGAAAGGAATAGAAAAATCACTATCAATTCTCAGAAGAGTAACCAATGCTTTGGCAGAGGAAAATCATACTGATGTTCCTTACCAAGATTCCAAACTAACCCAAGTACTCTCAGAATCTTTCGGTGGGAACACAAAAACCAGTGTTATCATCACATGCTCTCCTTCTCCATGGCATGAACTTGAAACAATGTCATCTCTCAGATTCGGATCTATAGCCCGTACTATCAAAAACACTCCTAAAATCAACAAACTCCACTCTCAGACCGAACTCTCATCCCTCCTAAATGCCGCTGAGGTAAAAATAAGTGCTCTTGATGCTTACATCACCCAAAACAATCTACCTCAGCCCAAAATCCCCCCAAAATCTCCTTCAGCACCAGCTCTACCCAACCATCAGCCCCAATCTACCACTCAGCCAGGACTATCCAGCTTCATCGACCAGAGCCCCGACCAAGAAGCTCTTAAAACTCTTGAACAAAAGTTATAGGTAAAATACCCAAGTGAAAAATTCGAAAATTTCTTAAAATCCTATATAAGAAGAATAATTTTAGGCTAAAATTTCTTCATGAAAATCTTGGCGAAAAGCTAACTTTGTTCAATTATAGTAGCACAACAAGAGAGGACAGATGAGTGCTTGAAGACAATAAACAGGCTGAAAGAAGATATTCAGGTTTTGGAAGGAAGAATTGAGGTATTAGAAGAAGAAAAGTTGAAGGTGGAACTGGAAAAAGAGGGGTTCATGGGAAAATAACTCACTTATGTTCAAGCTGCAAGGGTCCATAGATCTTGCAGAGGAGAGACATGAAATTATTAAGCTACAAGAAGAGAAGATTAAGGTGAAGGATAAAGAAGTTGAGGTTTTTAAGGAGAAAGTTATGGAGCTTATGGTCAAGCTTAAGAAATATGAAAATGACAAAGCACCCGGAAGGTATGTGATTATGTTGTTGTTTGGTGTGTAGTGACTGATATAGCGATCCTAAGGAGATAACGAATAGTTCTATAAGGTTAAAGAAAGAAATCATGGCTTTAAGACATATTATGAACCTTAAAGATGAAATATTGAGTAAACTTAAACTTACAGAAGATCTTACGGATGAAGATAGGAACAAAATTATTATTAATACCCGTATGCTTGAAGAAATAGAAAAAGCATCTAGTAAGTATACTAAAATCCCTACAAAAATGGTGCTTGTAAAAGAGACAGATACAGACACTCTCTCATTAAGCGAGAGTGAGGTTGAACAAATAGTCATCAACCAAAAGATGATCCATGCACGTATTGAGGAAGAACTAGCCACAAAGCGCTCAATGAGGAAAGAGATTGAAGACATCAAGTACCAAGATGAAGACCAACTCACAAAGGAAGTTGTGCAAGCTAAAATGAACGAAATGAAGGAAAGCTTTGACAAAGAAAGAGAGCATCTCCTCAGTGATCTCGGCAACAGAACCCAAAAGGTCAAGCAACTTGAAATGGAACTTGAAATCCAAAGAGAAGAATATAAGAAGTTAGAAAAGTCTCTAACTGAAGAAGAGTTTTCAATGAAAATACAGATAGAGCAACTCCAGAGACAAGTTGATCAGATGAATCTTATGTATCATCATGAGGTATCCAGTAACAATGTGTTGAAAGTTGATGTTCAGCTGTATGAGAAAAAGATACTTAAGAGAGACCAAAGAATAGCTACACTGGAAAAATCATATAAGACTTTGAGTGAGCAAGCTCAAGAGATGAAAAGTGAACTTATGAATGCCCAAAAGCAAATGATAAAGCTAGAAACACTCAGAAGAGAGTCATTGGTGCTTTCTAGGATTCCTACACAAGCAAAGATGATTAAAAGGATTAAAACAGGAGTCAAACCTAGAGAGATTCAGAAAGACTACAGAAACAAAATTGTTGAGCGAGTCATTGGAGATCCTTTCAACTCTTCAGAATAAAAATGGGGTTTTGGGGTTTTGGGGTTTTGGGG